ATGGGCATTTCTTTAAATTGTTGTCAGAGGTGACTGGCAGACCTGCGTCTTGGATACACACTCCCTAAGAAGGCAGAAAGTGTTATCAGCTTGGCCTTTGTATCAGCCCAGGTGTCATGGTAGTGGGCTGAGATATGTAAATCCAGTCAAGCACCAGGAATGCTCAGGCCTACTCAAGAATGCAAATAAGCTGCTTTGATCCTAAGTTTTGGTGATACTTCTTGGTATTTGGGGGTATAAAATAAATGTGCTGCATGGGCTCAGGGTCCTGTCCCTCCATCAGAGTGGCAGTGTCCCATCCAGTTCCCAGCTTTGTTTCTATTTTTGCATTTTGCTTGTTTGCTTGCTCTTATTTCTTAATCCCCAGCTCCTCCACTCAGGAACAGGACTTGTTCCTTTTCCATGCTGGACTTGGAAAAGAGAGAAATGCCTCTGCAAGAGAGTGGTACTCGAAGTGCGTTCTAGCGACTCCTAGGGAGGGACCCAGAACAATGGTCGTAGGCTTTTTCTTTTTTTCTTCCCCCCCCCCCCCTCCGCCCCTTTCTCATTCTCCTTCTCTCCCAAGTTTACCAGGGGTCTCTCAGGGGCTACCTGACATTTGATATCACTACAAATTACATGCAGAATCAGATATGAGTATTCATCTGTCTTCTATTAAGTCAGAAATTAAAGAAATTTGTGACAATGTAAAACTACGCCACTCTTACTATTTGTGGTTTCAGAAAATACAACTTTTCATAAAATGTTATGTATGCTAACATGCATTAGGTTTATTATCTTGAATGAATACATATTTCAAATGTGTTCCATTTTCATTTCTAAAAATTGCAAATATTGATAGATGGGAGTGAGGTTAAGCAATAGCTCTCTGGGCTCTACAGCCATCTGTAAGAGTGGAAAGAGATCTTGAAAACAAAACATTTGAGAAGCATTGAGCTCAGATGTTGGCATGGGGTCCTATGAAATCATCGCTTTGCTCACTTCTAAAAAAAAAAAAAACCACACAGAACCCTATTATTTCTGGGGATTTGGAAAAGTGTGAATTTTATAGTCGCTTCACTATAATGGGCTTGAGTGGGGCAGATCTGGTCACAAAGCCCATGCGGAGGCTTCTCTCCAATCCTCTGCATGTTGCAGCCACTGTTTTAAAGGAAGAGATTCTAAACTCTCCCAAGACTGGGTGATAAATGACAGAGATTGAGTTGTGCTGGGCAAGATACCAGGGTCCTCTACACGGGGAGGGGAGGGAGAGCATGGGAATCGCATCCCACTGGGAACCAGCGGCGATGCCTGTTGGGTGCCTGGCCCCTGGAGGGAGTCAGCTCTCCTGGGTGAGGACAGCCTTGGTCGCCTGGACCCTTACCAGGCATCATGGTACCAGAGAGGCCTACACCTACTGTAGCGTAGAAGGAGGGGCTTCTGAAAGATTCACGGCATCAGGCAATACGTTAATGAGTGTTTGCCGGTGTGATGCAGACGGGCTTTGGTGCCTGCAGACCTGAGTTCAAATCCTGACCCCCTTATATGACTTTTGGCAAATAATTCACCATTTCAGAACCATAATCCCCTTTTCTGTATGTAATGGTGGCTACTGGATGATAGGGAGAAATAAATGCAACAGTGGGTGTAAAGCATAGAATACAGTGGGTGTCAGTCCCTTTCCTTTTTTGGTCCTGACTTGCTCTGTGGTGTTAAGCGTCCTAAGAGGACACAGGAGCGGCCCCTGGCCTTCTGCAGCATCAGTGGGGAGGCCCCTCCTCTTGTCATGCTGGGCACAGAGCTCTGCCCGCGGCATTCTGCAATGTCATCCCTCTGAAGGGGATGGATGTCCCTAGGTTTCCCTCTCTCCCTCTGCTTCCAGGAGCCCCGGAAGTGTGCTCAGATTCCTACAGGAAAAGAGAACAGAAAGGAGTGCACCTGCTCACCCAGATGGGAAGCGGATTTTCATTTTGCCCCTTGGCACTGGTGACCTGGGAGCTCAGGGTCAGTTGCATTCTTATGAGGAAGTCCCTGAAAGAGTGTACAGGGATCAAGGGCCCTGGAGCCATGGTCGGCAAACTGGCTCGCAAGCCACATGTGGCTCTTTGGCCCTTTGTGTGTGGCTCTTCCACAAAATACCACGGCCTGGGCCGGTCTATTTTGAAGAAGTGGTGTTAGAAGAAGTTTAAGTTTAAAAATTTGGCTCTCCAAAGACATTTTAATCGTTGTACTGTTGATATTTGGCTCTGTTGACTAATGAGTTTGCCGACCACTGCCCTGGAGACACTGTGGGTGGTCAGGGGCCCCAGCCATGCCTGACCAGGCCAAGGTGCCACTCTCCCAACACTCAGACACTGAGCAGCCCCTCCTTCCTTCCCCATCCAAACCACTCAAGTGAGTGGGCCGCCAGGGCAATGGGATATGGAAAAAGGAAGGCTAGTCCCCGCCATGTACAGACGATTGGATTTAACTTTTTTTGGGGGGGTGGGGGTGGGGGGAGTGTTCTGGGCAGTTTCCTCCTGGCCTATAAGAAGGGAGAGCTGGCTGAAACCAGTTTGGCTCAGTGGATAGAGCGTCGGCCTGCGGACTGAAGGGTCTCAGGTTCGATTCCGGTCAAGGTCATGTACCTTGGTTGCAGGCACATCCCCAGTGGGGCATGTGCAGGAGGCAGCTGATCGATGTTTCTCTCTCATTGATGTTTCTGACTCTCTGTCCCTCTCCCTTCCTCTCTGTAAAAAAATCAATAAAATCTATATATATAAAAAAGGAGAAGGAGAAGGAGAAGGAGAAGGAGGAGGAGGAGGAGGAGAAGGAGAAGGAGAAGGAGGAGGAGGAGGAGAAGGAGGGAGAGCTGGGAGCCCCTCTGCCTTGCCTCCTGGTCTGGTCTCCGAGAGGGCACCAGCGTCCTCAGTGGAGCTGTTAGCTGTGCCCTAGGCCCCGGGTCCGAGGCCACAGTGCCCTCTCACCCAGACCGGTCCCGTGGGAGAAGGAGGCGTTGTCTTTTTGGGAAGCTGGGCAGCATTGCCTCATGTGTGCGCTCTCTGGGAGGTCCCATGACAGCGCTCGCCCATGTTCCCTCACATTTGCACTGTGTAGAGTGGTGTTGTCTCCACGCCCCTTGGCAGGCATCGCCTGGGCGCCGTCCTGCAGCCGCAGGCCTGGAAAGCTCTGCGAGCCACAGAGGGACGGGCCCGAAGCCCGGCCTGGAGGACATGACCCCGCCTGGCCTCTTCCAGGACTCTCAGGAGCCTGGCGCCCTCCTGCCTGAGGAACCGCCTCTGTGCCAAAGGCCGGCACTGGGTGGGGGGCGGGGGGGGGCACGTCTGGGCGGGTGAAATGGGGTGAGGAAGACACACAGCCGGCTACCTCTGGGAGTCAGAGGGACACACAGATTGGCTGTTGGTGTCGAGCCCTTCTGCCAAGAGCAGATGGCTCTGAGCCGACCCTGTCTGAGCCCCTGTCAGGTGGCGCTGTCCTAACAGCCTCGCGTGCATTCGCTCGTATAGTCCTCACCACGGTGGGCTCTCGGCTTCGGGCAGGGAAGAATTCGATTGGGGCCGGCATAGAGCTTGAAATGAAAGTGCGATTGTTGGCGCAGCAGAGACAGAGGGTGGACTACTCCACAGGCAAAGCAGGCCTCCCCCTCCCCCATCCCTTAACACACATGTGTCAAACACAAGGCCCGCGGGCCAAATCCGTCCCGCCAGGCCTTGCAATGTGGCCCGCACCGCCCTGTCATCACTGCACTCCGCTGCGTTTCCATCACAATGACAGTTTATGACTGTTCAGTAAACCATTCGGCCCGCGATTTAGGCTGGATTTTAGATTTTGGCCCCTTCTCTGATTGAGTTCGACATCCCTACCTTAACAGAATTTGCTTCTTTTACTGAGATGTGTTTAATCGGGATGGGAGGGCAGGAGTAGAGCATTTCATGTGGGGGAGGAATGGTCAGGATCTTTCTGGAAAGGGGGTGGAGATTTCTCAGAAGAGCTCCGTGGGTCAATTTTGTCCTTATATGGGCTTTCTGTGGTTCTGGTTGTGTCGGTTAGCTTGCTGATGTGTTACCGTGAGCGTACAATGAGGCTGGGGGTTACCATTGGATGAATTAGTCTCCACGTTGGATGCAGCTGGTCTTTGCCAGTTCTAAGCCCTACATCCAGAAGAGGTGGTTTTCCTTGATAGCTCCTGTCGCTTTGACCGACGGCAGCTATCCTGCCACATCCCCCATCTCCATCAGGATCATCTCCGTTTCACCTGGACCAGAGAAGTGGCCTGCAGCAACTGAAGTCACTCAGCTCGGAGTAGTGGAGGCGGATTCACACACCCTGGCTGGCTCTGGAGTCGTCCATTCACCACTCACAGTGTCACGGGAAAAGACAAGGAGACGATGATTGCTGTCACCTCTCAGGAGCCTGCAGGTGGGTCAGGGCGTGTCGCCCTGAGAACCATCCCAGTGAACCAAGCAGGCCAAGTCTTCCTGTGAGGCCCAAGTCTTCATGTGACTCTGATTTTACTGGACAGAAATAAGGGCTTGGTCGTAGGAGGCATAATAGTGATGGCTTTTATTGAGAGCTCACTCTTTACCATCAACTCCGCTAATGGATTTTCCTGACAATCTCTCACTTAATCCTCACAACTACCCTCTGAGGTTGGGATAGTATTATTCCTCTTGCATGGATAAGGAAACTTGGGCTCAGAAGAGTTAACGAACAGGGCCAAGTTCACTGCTTTTCAGTTAGAGCTGAGCCTCACAGCCAGGAGGGCCTGGCCCCAGAAGCCAAAATCTTAGTGGTTGTGATATGGTGGCGTCATGGCTTTCAGCCTCCTCTGGAGGATTAGATGAACCTGGAAGGCCTTTGGGCTTGTGGCCAGGGGCCTGCAAAGAGTTGCTATCGTCTCAGAGGGGGTATCCAGGGGGTATACTGAGTTCACTCTCCCCCCCCGGCTTCTGTGATGTGCTCCACAGGGATGTGGTGACTGGAATGTACCCCTTCTAAACTCTTACTGGCTTTCCCTCATTTGTCAAGAAGAGAACCGAGGGAGCGAGCCGTCTGGATTGTGAGTGGGGATCTCAGTGTCGCACGTGACTTAACAAGTGATTTAAAAATGGGTGATGTTGACAAGGGCAAGAAGATTTTTGTTCAAAAGTGTGCCCTGTGCCTTACTGTGGGAAAGGGAGGCAAGCACAAGACTGGGCCAACTCTCCATGGTCTCTTTGGGCAAACGATAGGCCAGGCCCCCAGATTTTCTTGCACGGATGCCAACAAGAACAAAGGTATCACCTGGGGAGAGGCTACACTGATGGAGTATTTGGGGAATCCCAAGAAGTACATCCCTGGAACAAAAATGATCTTCACTGGCATTGAGAAGAGGGCAGAATGGGCAGACTTGATAACTTATCTCCAAAAATCTAGTAATGAGCCCTAACCTGTTTGGCTCAGTGGATAGAACGTCGGCCTGCAGAGTAAGGGTCTCGAGTTGGATTCCGGTCAAGGGCATGTACCTTGGTTACAGGCACATCCATGGTGGTGGTGGTGGTGGGGGAAGGGGTAGGAAGCTGCTGATGGATGTTTCTAACTCTATCCCTCGCTCTCCTCTTTGTAAAAAATCAATAAAATATGTATTGTTTTTAAAAGCTACTGATAAGTAATAGTTGGCCACTGCCTTATTTATTACTAGAGGCCCAGCCTGCCCCCTTTTACAGTCCATGAGTCCTCAGGGGCGGGAGGCAACTCAGCGATCAGGGGAAGGCAAAGCCCCTACACTTCTGCTGCTGACACTGCTGGCAGCATAAGCCTCAGTCAGCCCTGGTTTCCTGAGCCTTGAGTGGCCCTGGGTGGCTGGGCAGCCGCCATCTGCCATCTACAGCTTGCCTGCACCTCGGGCTGGCCCTGGGCAGCTGGGAGGCTGGGAGAACTGGGGGACTCCGGGGGCAGGTGCACAGAGCATCACACCTGCTGCCCTGGCAGGGCTGAGGGGACTGGGCACCGCCATCTTGTGTCTGTGGGCACCACCATCTTTGAGGGCGAGGCAGTCAATTAGCATATTCCCTCCTTATTTGCCGTGGGCGCCACCATCTTTGCATCGTGTGAGGGTCAATTAGCATATTCCCTCTTTATAAGATAGGACAAGTGTCTCCTGACTTCTTTTATGTGTACCTATTTAAATTGATCTCATACAGCAGAATTCAGATCGTGAATGGCTAATAGAGCATTTCTTCCCCACCCCCCACCCCCCGCCCCAGCAGTCCCGATTTAAATAAGATTGGCTTGTGGTTAAATGAATATGGTCAGCTTTTTGAGCTTCGATGATAATTTTGGTTCAGCAAGGGCTGTCACTGTCCTTCCTTCTAAAAATATGATTGGACTTGATTCCTAGTGTTCTGCTTTTCACAGAGATGGAGAGTGTCATCTGAGAGCCTGCAGGAGACTGGCTGATATTTACATTTATACGACTGGTTGTATTCCCTTGTTTAAGTTCTGAGGAAATCCCTTCCCTGTCTCTTAGACCTGCAAGACACACTTGCATTTCAAGTTGTATTCATCAGTCTGTTGAAAGGAAGGGCTGCAGGTAAGCCGGCAGTGACCATTTTATCTTTTTGGTCCCAACTATGCCAATTTAATAAAATTCCCTGTATCTATTCTAAACCATTGACTTTTACTGAATGAAGGGCATTTTAAAGTGGGTTTTTCGTATAATATCAAATAAATAGTATTTAACACTTCTACATTTTATAGATGATCTTTAAGGTCAGGTGCTTTTAAAACTCAGTGTGACAAGATACAGTAGCAAACGTTGTGAGTTCTTTAAGTCAGACTAAGTTATAATTCAGGATTGTCTTGAATAGCTACCCATTGACTATATATGTGTATGATTGCTAATGGTGCTTTTGCCAGCTCACTTGGATTAAAGTAGAGAATAGGTCATCAACACAAAATTGTAAATTACATCATCACGAGGCTTAAGATAATTAAAAACAAAGTCACAGATCAGAAAAAAAGAAAAAAAAAAAAGAGGTGCCTATCTGAACACACACACACACCTATTTTTTAAAGTAAAGAATAGGTCTGAAAGACAAGTAATATTTTTTTTTATTTTCATGCTATATTTGCAAAGCTAAATTAGAGCAGTAGTTCTTTAAAGAAGGAAAGGTATTTTTGGTACAGGCTGCCTGGTACCAAGTGCCAGGTTCATGAGGATGCAAACTAGCATACCTTTTTGGATGATAAGGAGGTGGTATCAACACACTTTAAAATGCATATTCCTTTGGTTCAAGTATCTCTACTGGGGAAACATTTATAAACGTATATAGAATTGCACAGAAAAGTGAAGTCATTAGATTGCAGTCTATAATAAGTTGGAACAGCACATATGATGATCTAAGAGAAATGATTAAATGAATTGTTACAATCAAATTACACAATAGTTTAAAAGCATGAGGCAGGTCTATATCTTCTGTGTGGACACCAAGACAATTGTTAAGTTAGAAAAAAAAGAGTCACCGAACAGTACTTCTACTATGATCTCATTTGTATTAAAGTACATACATATGTACAAACATATGCACATACATAAATAGAAGGCACATGGTTCCCGTCATCGTGTCTGAGAAGGGCTGAGAGTATGGGTTTTCCCACTTCTCTGCCTGTTCTTGCATATTGATTGAACCTTTTGCAACAAGAGTCTGTTCATGTACTATATGTGTGTGTTTTAAGAATTTGTATCTTTCCAAAACAGAAAATGATATGCTTAATATTGTGGATATAGAACATAAACCACAGTCCAAAGATTTTTTTTGGCTTTTAAGTAGTCCAGAGTGGGCCGGTGATCACCTGATCACTAGACATGCTTTCCCTATATTGCTTTCCTGCTCCTGTTCTGGTCTCTGGCCTTCAGGGACGGCAAGAGTATCAACATGGCTTCCATGGGCTGTGACACTGTCCTAAAGCCCCAAGATGCATTTAATAAGAATAAATGTAGCCAACTGTAATTGAAAAAAAGGTAAGTGTAAAAAAAAAAAAAAAAAAAAAAAAAGATAAATATAAAATTTCATATTTAGTTTAAAAAATTCAATGGCCAAAGTCCAATTAAAGACTCAGAATGGTATCAAGTCTTATAATAAAAGATGAAGACTTCAGTTTGATCACAGGCTTAGTATGGGTACAACAGAGGAATGCAAATATTTAAAAACTATAGGCCCAGTGCATGAATTCATGCACAGGTGGAGTCTGGCTGGCCAGGCTCCAATTGGGCCTGTGGAGAGGAGGAGATGATGGGAGGTTGAGTGGCTGGTGGAAGGGGCCATGGGCGATTGGCTAATTGGCCCTACCTCCAATTGAAGTAGGGGGCCTATTGGGAGCAAGGCTGGCCATGGGGAGGGGTTGTGGGCAGTGGACTGGCTGGCCCAGCCCCTGAATGGGGTGGGGGGACCGATTATGGGTGGAGCTGGCTGTGGGAAGGGGTTTCAAGAGGTTGGCTGGCTGACCCACCCCTATTGGGGTAGGGCATGCCAATCAGGGGCAGGGATGGCCCGGGAGAAGGGCCATGAGGGGATTGGATGCCGGGCTCCCCTTAATCAGGGAAGGGCTGGCTTGGGGGAAGGGCCAAGGAAGGTTGGCCAGCTGGCCCTACCCCCTGATCAGTCCATTGCACTGGCTGCAGTGGGCCTCATAGAGACTGGTTGTTTTGGTAGTTATCTCGTTCAGGTCGCTGTCTTTATATATATATATATATATATATATATATATATATATATATATATATATATATATATAGATAGTCCAAAAACTCAGTTTGCATTAAAGAAATTCTGTGTGGCTGAAGGGAATTAACTACGTCCCTCTGGGCTAAGCAAGATGTCACTTTTGGGGTACTGTGTTCCGTTTTAGGTACATACTTAGGCACATTTAAAAACTACATGGTCTACAAGGCACAGAAAGGTTGGATACAGTTCTAGAAAACAAGTCATTTAAAGAACTGGAGCGTTTCTTAGTTGGTGGGATGATGGCTCAGTGACAGCACAATAGCCATCTTCAAACATGTGAAGGGCTGTCATGTGGAAGGGAAATTGTCTTCATCGATGTCACTCCAGATAGTAACTCTACATTCAGCAGGAAACAATCACTCCAAATTCTTTCTTAATGTCAGGAAGAACTTCCTAACATCCAGAGCTTTCTAACTAGAGCAATCCAACCATGGGACAGGCCACAGTTGAGGCATGAACCCGTCCATCATAAAATGGAAAAATTCTGTTGGACACCGATGGTCACAAAACCAGTGTATAATTATCCAGCCCTTGTGATCTCTTTTGGGAACGTGTAGGGGAGGAATAGCCACTTAAGTTACCACATTACCAAGTATTTCCTCAAGCCCTGGCTGTCACTACAGTTTTTGACCCAAATTTTTGTTCCTTTCTGCAAAGAGAAGGAAACCAGTGATAGAATGCAGACCTAACCCTAAAAACTAAGAGGTTAACAGAGAAAAAGAAGATTAGAATCTGGATTCTCTACCAAGAACCCATCCCAAATCTGGAAGAAGTATCAATCAACATGCCCACAGCTAGATACTGTGATTTAACTGAACGCAAATGTGCATTCTGTCTTTTTTTTTTTAATTGTTGTTTATATTTTACTTCTTGTTGCTTTATGCATTTTCTTAGTAACCTGGTAAATATTTATTTTTAGGAAATAAAAGTGAAAAACAATATTCTCCATTTGCCTAAAAACTTTCTGTGTTTGATCAAAGAATTGGGGAAGTAAAGTTTTTCTCCGTTGACCAAAGGAGTAGACAGCAGGCTCCTGGTTCCACCGTTAGAAAGGTGAATTTCAGGAACGGGATGGGGTGGGAGTTGAAGCACCAGGAACAAACCTGCCGAAGCAACTATAGGCCTTTCCTTCCTGTCAGATCCTCACTGTTCTGAGCTAGTAAGACCTTCAGCTCACAAATATTGAGCAGGAGGCAGTCATGGATTGACTGTGAGACTAAATGATCACCAGTGTTATCTTTGATATTTTACTCTTTTTTCGTTTCTTAGTGTTCTTATAAGTACCGCGTGCTAATCGATTGCGCCACTGGAGCTCCGGCCTCGTTTCTTAGTGTTCTTACCTCTCTGACCCCTTTTTCTACTTTCTTCACTCCTGCTCTTCCTTCTCCTCAGGCCCTGTTCTTTGCTCCTCTGTGAAAGAGGAAAGGTAAACAGGAGACTGTAGAGAGAAAGGCTAGCAGGGATGGTGGCAGCAGGAGAAAAGAATGGTGGTCTCCTGAGGGCGAGGAAGAGATAAGAAGGTGAGATGCCTGGGAGAGAAGGAAGGAAGAAGGAAGAAGGAAGAGCCAGGTAAGAAAGGAGGAAGAGGAAAAGGAAGAAGGAAACTAAAGGAAACGGGAAGGAGCCATTAGAGAAATGCACCTTTTACTATATTTAGGAAGCACAGGAGACTTTAAGTGGATCATCTCTTAAAAGAAC